TCCTGCTAACCACAAGATGGCTGCTGTGCCGCATCAACTGATGGTCAACTCTGCTTGCCAGAACTGCCTTCCGGAGACTGTATTCCATGGAGACTCACCTACAGTTGCGGAACTGCACGAGACCCACACTTGATCCAACCTTGAATGGAATCTATTTTCCCTATTGTTAAAAACTTTGGACTCCTGGCCCCTCTCCCTCTACTCGCAGGTATCGCATTTTCAATGACCCCTCTGGAGGATAGCTGTCTATAGCAGAGATAGAGTAATTGGGAGAGGGGGAAAGGGCTGAGGGTCAAACATAGGATAAAAAACATATTTATATGTATGAAAGTAGAAATGGAACAGTATTGGTGACGACATGCTTGATTAAGACACTATGCAGTTTATCCTAGATGGGAGACTACACTTGGTGTGTTGTGATGATACTCAGGGAATGAGTGTTAGGCAATATAATTTAATATAAAATAATAATAAACAGGAGGAAAAAAATGCACATTTGATGACTGAAGAGAGTTGTATGGACACAACTGGGGTCTACTTTATAATATGTTCATTCTACTCCCTGGGGTTTATGCCTAGGATCAGATTTGGATACATGTGTAAGGATATGTCAGCTGTGCTAGCTAGTGGATATACCTAGACTAATTGAGTTCATTGGTAGAACAATTGAATGGGGGGGGCGGAAGGCATTGAGGGCAATCATGAATGTTAGGGACAATGGAGGAGGAAGACGGGACATGGCAGAGGGTGGGGATGGGGAACCTAGGATGGCAAAACAAAAGGCAAGGTATGCAGGACACAAAAATTGGGAAATCATTTGCTGAGAACATATATGTTGATGTGCTTGATTGAGCCAATGCACAGTGTATTTTGGATGGAAGATTCATATGTGTGTTGTGATGAGAAAAGAAAAAAAAAAAAAAGAGGAGAAAATGAAGCCTAAACTCAGTAAAATTGCAAACCTGCTACTTCCTAAATTATTAAATATATATAATATATTTGGTTTTCTTTTTCAGTATTTCATGCACAAAGCACGTAACAGCACATAATGCTGAAAGGCTTAAAGGTAAAAACGAGCTGTCAGCACCTGCCAGCTATGTTGGAAAGAAAAACCAGCCCAGGCCTAATATATAAGCCAGAAGGAAAGAATGCAGAAGGGAGTTGACATCAACCCCACTCCCAGACAGAAAGCCACAGGGACTGCATGGACAACTGCATGGAGCTCCAGGCATGGCTATGTCTTAAGATGTTTGGTGACATTCTGCAAGCCAAGATATTGTCTAAGTACAAAGGATATCGATCAATCTTGTACCAGGAACATAGCCTACAGAGAATGACATGTATATTGCACACTGTTCTCTGTAGCTAAACTCATTCATTGCTTATCTGATTTAATTTAGGCTCTGCTCCAGCGAACTTTTCCTTCTGCTCCAAGTTTAGCCCCTTGCTTTGGTCCCATCTCTATCCTTTGCAATACTCTATCTTCAAGCCCTGAGTTTCTCACAGCTGTCTCACCAAGGTAGTTTCTTCTAGCCTTTTCAATTGTTTCTTCTCATTTTCCTCCATATTTCAAAATAATATAGCATATGTTTTGATTCATTTGTTATTTCAATTAATTAACACATCAAATGAATTTCTGCTCTGTGCCAGACTGTCCCAGAGCCTGGAAATACAGACTGAATATGATCAGAACCATGGCTCTCAAGCAGCCACATGCAAATGAGGGAAGAACACGTACACACACAGGTAGGTGCATAATACCAGGTAGTGACTGTGCTCTGAGGAAAACTAATCTGGGAAAAAGTCCCTGGGGTCAGTGAGATGGGAGGGTGGGGTGTAAGAGGTTCAGAGAAGACACCACATGACTTACTCCAGAAGTGAAAATCAAGACCAGAAGGAGTCAAGGAGTCCAATTCCCTAAGACTCTGACCCCTTCCCCAGCCAGTCCCAACCTGTGTTGCCTGGACAAGGTTGCAAAAGCAGGACACCTGAGTCTAAAGAGCCACATGTGGCCACATGCACCACAGAGGTGCGACATCACCAGGGTGACAAGGGGCTGGGCCCCAGGCCGTAGGCAAAAGCCATTGTGGAAGCCTGCGGGAAACGTAGTCATTACCACAGACTGCCAGAGACCAACCCCAAGGTTAGGAAAAATGCATTCTAAGATGTGAACACCAGCATGATGGGGGCTCACCAAAGTGAGAATTCACAGCTAAGTAGCGATCCGAGGTCTAGAGGAGCTGCAGGCACATGCTCACCAGGCACTGGGTGGTTCTAGGCAGTGCAGTTCTGGAACTCTACCCAGTGGTCTTTACCTGGGAAGCGCCCTCAACACTCCAAACTGGGTGGGATTCACGTGGGAGGGGCTGGGGGTGCTGATATTCACTGTAGAGACCTTTGGGAAGACCCATCCAAACAGGGTGGGGTTGGAGTAGGAGTGTCTTCACCAGGGAGGCCTCTGGGAAGTACATTGGGGCACTCTGGGCAGGAATTGGTGTAAGCGTGGATCTTAACCACGGAGGCATCTAGGAAGTGCCCTTGAATGTTGTGAATGGGGCAGGTCGGCTTGGGGAGCGGCTTGGGGAGCAGGGCCTTCACTGCCACGACCCTGAGAAGTGCACTTTGAACAGCAGGGAAGGGATTCCCCTGGCAGCTCAGTGTAATTAGATACTCCCCTGAGGAGTTTAAAACAAATTGCAAGAGCATCTGGTTTCATCTGTGAAGATTTTAGTTGTATAATAGAAATAAAGACTCAAACATAACAACGGGACTATTATCACACACAATATGCAGAGTTCTCCAATTATTTCAAATAAATTTCAGATATAAAGAAATCATATTAAGCTATGAGCATAGGTTGCTTTTAATACATCTTAGCTTCTCCATTTCTTTGTCATGTATTTGACAAAACTACATCTTTGTGCAATAGTTTTCCAGTCTAGGTTTTTCCAAAGGTAACCCATGTGTAAACTGAACAAGGACCTTTGCTGGGTTAGTATTTACCTCCAGTGTCTTGGTTGCATTCAAGGAACAGCAAAGTCCGTAGTGCTCCCCTGAAGTGTTACACAGAAGAATCATTTGGTTGACCAGTTTCTACAAAGAGTACCTGCTCTGACCCAGAGTGGGAGAAAGGCAGTGGTCAGCATATATGACATCTCGACCCCAGACACAGGGTGGAGGTGAAGATGATGACATAAGGGGGATACTTGAGCCTTTCTGGACGTGGGTTTTCAAAAAGTAAAATGAAACTTAGGCTTGGGCCTGCTCTCAATCTCCTCCAGCTCTAACACGTGCAGCGTTAATTTACAGTCTGTATGTGGCTGGGAAGAGCCCTCAAATAGTGCTGTGGTGGACAATTTGTATCTTACCCAGTCCATATCATGATTAGTTTTACCTTCGGCGTCGTCACAGATTCTGTAGTAGCACACAAAATGATTTCATCTTTGTGCCTTGTTCCTGATCCACAGCTTCTCAAACCTCTGGAATCTCTGGAGTAGTGTCTTATATGCTAATAGGCTACTTTGCTCTGCTCTTCTCTCACCCTTGTGATGTGCTTGCATTCTGCAAGACCCCTGCCAAAAATGACCCATGAACCTTAGTCCTCCAAATTGTGAAATGAAGCTTCATTCTCAATTTACCCAGTTTATGGTATAAACAGAAAGCTGATTCTGTAAGTGTGTGCTGCTAATTACAAATATCTGAAAATGTGAAAATAGCTTTGGACCTGGATAATTTGCAGAGGTTGTAAAGGTTAGGAGGAGCAGTCTAGATATCTAGAGCAGGCTCAAAAGAATGGTTTAGAATGAACTGAAACATTTTTGAGATTGGTTAAATGGTGGTGACCAATTTTTTTTCCCCTATAGAGCATGTGCACTTCCCAGAGAGAGAGAGTGAGAAATAACCAAGGGGGAGATGGACACACTGCAATCCCTTCCTTTCCCTTACATTAACCTCTCAGATTTTGGGAATGCACACACACCTCCAGCATGCTTCCCAAGTTGCTGGGTCCAGGATGCAATCAGCCATATGGGATCCAGTACTTCAACTATTACATTACCTGCTTCTCCCCTCACCTTTTTTGTAATTTGGCACTGTGTATGCACTCGCTGGAGAGGTACAGGAAACCCTCCTTCATCATCAAACAAATATATTTTGTAAATGAAGAAACTTTTCACTGTTTCTATAACAAATGCTGCTACTTACATAATTACCTACTTACTCATATTAGTATATTCATCATCTTTACTTATAAATACTAAAACTGCAAAGATCACTTCGTTATTGCTACTACTAATATAAATTCCAAAACTCATTCCCACATGCCCTGAACATGCCACCTTCTACCAGGCACCCAGTAAGTCAATGTATTTCTACATTCTGGCTGCTGATTATTCTCTCCAGCCCTTCCCTTTCACTTTTACCACCTGCTACTCCTCATCTCACTTCTCCATGGTTTACTTTGCCAACCAGACCATCAGGTGATATTCCTGGGTGATCAAAAACAGACTCATCCAGGTTCACCTTGCATTACACTTCTCTGCATGGAAACCTCTACCTTAAGTCTTTCTAATGGAACTAGTCACAACAGCATGACGCAGCAGCCAAAGGGGTCCCTGGAAGTGTACTGACAGCACTGGGTCAGCAGTATGGGACAGACCCACACACATACCTGAACTCACAAGATGGGCCTGTTCCAGTCCTGGAGTGAACTTGGAAATTTCACCAGATATGAAATTCCTCTTCTTGAGATTCCGTCAAGAGACATGGATCATTTCCAGGATCTATGGGCCAAAATCCCTATTTCATTATCTTCATTCCAATGAACACACTTGGAGGCTGGAGAAATTTCATCCCATGATTTTATTTGAATTTTATTTTCATTTTACACAAGGTGTGTATTTAAAACAGATATTGGCCTTAAAGGGGAAAGTACCTGTTTTTTTTTTTTTTTTTTTGTCTGTCTTTTAAGTCACTTATCCCTATATAAAGACCTCTACATGTAACAGCTATATAAGAAAGTTATAAATTGTCCTTGTTTTTACAATGGTATACAAAAAAATTAAAAATTTTCAAACAATTTATGATTACTTATTAAACAGGAAGAGCAAAACAAAGTCCTGGAATATAAAGAAAAGAGCAGAATGAGCACACTCCTGGTGGAGAAAAGGAGTCGTTTTCATAGAACCAGAACTCCCCTAATCATCTCCACTTGGTATCAATCCACATATACCTTCATTTATTCAATGAAAACAAAACAGCTTGTACACCAACACCAGTTACCCCACAGGAATGGAGAAGGGAACAGTGAAAGAATAGAGGAAATCATACTGTACCAGTTAGGACATGTTGGAATTGCACTGCAGTTTCCTACAGGAGAATGCTTGTTTGTGAGCAGAGCTCTGGAGTAGCAGGCTCCATCTTCTGTAAACAGCACCTGTCTGCTACTGAAGTACATCCACTGCATCTTCAGCCTCCACCGGCACCTGTGAAGGTGTGTCTGTGTCCTAGATTGGCCATACATCAAATCACAATCTGATTTCCTCAGCAACAAACCTTGTTATTCACCACAGATGTGCTCATTTTTTAAGTTCTGTATGCCTCTTCCCTTCAAAATGCACCCCAGGACCACCCTACCCTGCCACCATCTTGAAATCCACATAATCACCATTCTTGTCTTAAAATGGGCTTTTTGCTGACCATGACAGAGGACCCACAGTCTCTTCAGCTGCAAAGTGACAAAAGAAGTACCTCAGGAGTACACAAGCAGCACCAGGAGTGACTGAAGGCAGCAGAGCTATCCTGTTTTCATTACCGTTTCTACAACCACAAAAACAGCAACAGCAGCAACAAAAATGACTAATAGTGTTAATAATAATTATAATAATCCTAGATAACATTAAATCGCAATTGTTGGAAATCAGTTTTTATAGATTATGTGTAACTTCTATGACTTTTTAATAACATACACTTATTTTTGCCAAGAATATCAGGACTCAACCACACCCCACTCAACAAACAAATCTTATCTACTGACCTATGGGTATCCATTTGGGCCCTCTTACCCTTCCACACTGTTCTGCCACCTCACCCACATGCTGGGTCATCACACCTGTGACACAAATTATCAAATCGCTCTCTGGGAGGGGGTCCAGAAGTGCAGAGCTACTGGAATGCAACACCAGCTTGAGAGAGCTGAAAGCACAGACTACAACATGAGAGAGCTGTTGGCTAACCTCAACACTGCCTTGGATATGAAGCTGCACAAGACCCTGGGGGTTGGGGCAACCTCCATGTTCTGTGTGTTCAGAAGCAATACAGAGTCAAAGATTATTCTGGTGTCTTAAGACTTCACATTCACCCTGTTGAGTTTTCTTGCTTTGGACCACTTACTCATTTTCTTACTTTCCTTTCTGAAAAGAAAATGTCTGAACCAGCATTTAGCATAATGGCTATGTTGCTGGACTCCCATGTAGCTGACCACAGTTTGAGTCCTGGACCCAGTGGCTTAAACTCACACCAGGCACGTGTGCATGTGTGCCCAAGATCCCGAAAGAATAGAAATGGGATTGCGGCGTGGCCATCCCCCCTGGGGGGTGATTTATCGCTGTCTCTCTGTCTCTGTCTTTCTGGCGAGTGCACACGCCTTATAGTAAAAACCTCTCCAAAAAAAGAAAAAAGAAAAGAAAATGTCTATCCTATGCTTGTCCCACCTTTGCATTTCAGGAGCAGATAATCTGGATTTGGATGTCTGGATTTCAAAGGTTCACTAGAGAGAAACTGACCTTACGATATACTGTGCCTCAGGTCTCACCCATATCTGCTCTTTGGACTTTTGAGTTGGTGCTAGAAAGAGTTAAAAATTCGGAATTATTTGGGAGAATGAATTTTGCATAAGAGAACATGAGAGTCTGGGGGCCACAATATGAAGTTACGGTGTGAATGTGTCCCCTTAAGTTAGTATTTTGAAAACTGATCCCAAATATAGTGGTATTGGGAGGTGGGACCCGAACAGGAGATGTCTGGGTCAAAAGGGCATGACTCTCACAGATTAATGATATTCATTCAATGTCATCTATTATGGCTGCAAATCTGGGTTAAAAAAAAAATCTAGCCTACGACAGACTACTTGTTCTTGCTCCTTTAGCTTTCCACATAAACTCTTCTAAGAGCTTATTTGTATCTAAGAATGTGTTTTTTCCATTAGGAAATATTAAATTACTTTACTATGTGAAGTAGAGTTGACATCTTTATTATGTAATATTTCCCTGATCATAAACACGGAATATTTTTATTGCTTCTTTTTGAATACATAATTTTCCACCCACTCTTAAAGGCATTTTTGTTTGTTAAGTGTACTGTTAGGTATTTTATCTTTTTCTTTATGTAGCAATGTTCTCAAAAATATTAAGACTTTATATGCTATTTTAATAGCCTGTTCATTTTTCTGCACTTCACTTTCTGAACCCAGTGGAGAGAAGTGACTGCAACTCACACTGTAATCATGGATTTATCCACTCTTTTACGTTGGCTAATTTTCATCTTATATATGCTATGGTCAAGTTATGAGAAGCACAAATATTTAGAATCATATCACCCTGACACATTGAATCACTTAATAGATTTTGCTCACTTTAGACATATTCTTTACGTTAAAGTCAATTCTATGTAGAATTGTAGCTACTTTCACTGCTAGCTCTTTCCCCATAAAGTACACATAATAGTTTACTTACTTCCAAAAAATTCCCTGTCCTGGTATTTGAAGTCTGAATCTCATGATTAACATTTGGGAGATGTCCAAGAGGTCAGAGAGCTAGTCGAGCTAACTCAGTGGGTAGTGGTGAAGACAGCAGAGGTCATTTGTAGGCCTGTTAACATGAGAGGCTGGGATGGAGCAGAAGCAATCAGAACATCATCACTGTGTTCTTAGCCTGACTAGGAAGGATTCACATGATTGGTACATAATTGTTCCATCCCAAGTGGGCACCACACTAAGTTCTAGACTAAATGCAATTCTAATAAAGTCAATAAAGACTTTGTGGATGCATAAAGGAAGATGATACAGACTACACAGTGGTATATAAATGAACAAAAAGTATTTAAATAGCAGTCCAGAGTTACTATAACTTTGTGTATTATATTTAAGCATAACTAAGAATAGCTCAGTGAAATCAAAGAGATCAGACACAGGCCATATAAATTCAGTCAAGGAAGGACTCAACTACAAACAGGAGTAATGCACCTCAATGGTGTAAGCAAACTAAAGGGGGGACACACACACACACACACACAAACACCTGGATTCCTAGGCCCCCAGGACACTGACCACAGCCTCTCTCCACCCTGTATATACACTCCTGATAGAGTAAGTGACTACTGAAACCAGAGGATAGAAGAGACTCACTCTCCATTCCAGATAAACCAAACAGTGCTGGATATACAAGATGGCTGGTGTACCTAGGTGATGTGATAACCTCTGTGGTTACTCAGCTGATCTGTTACTAGAACAAAGTTCAAAAAAATGTTGAGTAATCAAAATATTAGCCAATTAAAGTAAGTTAATATATGATGATAGTATTCAAAAACCTTTGATGCATTAAAATATTGGCAAATATTCGGTGTATTTTCAGTGTTGAAAGATACTTCTCTGCCTGACAGAGGCATTACCAAGACTGTTGCCTTGTTTTTGCTGATGATTTCTCTCACATATCCATAAAGTTGGGGATGAAAAATTACAGCAGAGGTTTGCCTCATGCATGGATATGTTGATCCATAAAGACTGTTAACTACCCTCAGAAAGTTCAGAGAGAGAATTAGCTACAGTGGACTGAACTGTATTGCAAACAGATCAGATACACAATGCACTGACAGAGTAGATATGTGTTTCTCACGATCATAAATACAAAGGAAAGTTTCCAGATTACAGGTAGGAACATCTGTGCTGTCTCCAGTTCTTTATATCTAAATTACAGTGGCCTTTTTCCAAGTATAACTCTTAAGGCCACGATGAGGGTCATCTGCAGACCAGAGCCACAGGGTTTGAGAAATAAGGTCAAGAAGTAATGATTGCTTGTGTCCATAGCCTCCTGCAAAGACTTCAGTTGCACGATCCAACCCACAATAAAGGGAGGCTGAGAAAATCAGACTGTGTGTCCCAGAGAGAAGATAGTGGATTCTGGAGAACACAACCAGTCTCTGCTATACAAGATTTCTCCCTTGAGTGAGTTCGCTGATGTTTGCTAAGGTATGACTTCTGACAAAAGGTTTTTCCACACTCATTACATTCATAGGGTTTCTCTCCTGTATGAGTTCTCTGATGCACAGTGAAGTCTGACTTCCAATAGAAAGATTTCCTACATTCTTTACATTCATAGAGTTTCTCTCCTGTATGAGTTCTCTCATGTACAGTAAGTTTTGACTTGCTGTAAAAAGATTTCCTACACTCTTTGCATTCGTATGGTTTCTCTCCTGTATGAGTTCTCTGGTGTACAATAAGGTATGACTTGTTGAAATAAGATTTTCTACACTCTTTACATTCATAGGGTTTCTCTCCTGTGTGAGTCCTCTGATGCACGATGAGGTCTGAATTCCGGCAGAAAGATTTCCTACATTCCTTACATTCATAGGGTTTCTCTCCTGTGTGAGTTCTCTGATGTACAGTAAGGTATGATTTATTATAGTAAGATTTCCTACATTCTTTACATTCATACGGCTTCTCTCCTGTGTGCGTTCTTTGATGCACGGTAAGATCTGAGTTCCGGCAGAAAGATTTCCTACACTCTTTGCATTCATATGGTTTTTCGCCTGTGTGAATTCTCTGATGTACGGTGAGCTTTGACTTGCTGTGGAAAGATTTCCTACACTCTTTACATTCATAGGGCTTTTCTCCGGTGTGAGTTCTCTGATGCACAGTGAGGTATGACTTTTTGTAGTAAGATTTCCCACATTCTTTACACTGATAGGGTTTTTCTCCTGTGTGAGTTCGCTGATGGTTAGTGAGTTCTGACTTCTGATAGAAACATTTGCCACACTCCTTGCATTCATAGGGTTTCTCCCCTGTGTGAGTTCTCAAATGAACAGTAAGGTATGACTTCTGGTTGAAAGATTTACTACATTCTTTACACACATAGGGTTTCTCTCCTGAGTGAGTTCTCTGATGTAGAATTACATGTGCTTTCCGGTAGAAAGATTTCCTGCATTCTTTACATTCATAGGGTTTTTCTCCTGTGTGAATTCTCTGATGTACAGTGAGGGCTGACTTATAGTAGAAAGATTTCCTACATTCTTTACATTCGTATGGTTTCACTCCTGTGTGAGTTCTCTGATGCACAGTGAGGTCTGACATCCGGTAGTAAGATTTCCTACATTCTTTACATTCATAAGGTTTCTCTCCTGTGTGTGTTCTCTGATGAACATTTAGGACTGACTTCTGAGAAAATGATTTCTCACATTCATTACATGCATAGGGCTTTTGTCCTGTATGTGTTCTCTGAGGTACTGTAAAAATTGATGTTTTAAAAAGTTTCTCCCATTCAATGTATTTATAGTCATTCTCTCCTGAATCTAAATTGTTATGATTGGCGAGGTTAGATTCTTTATAGAAAGTTTTATTTTCTAGCTGAGTCATGTCTTGGGCAATGAGAACTGACTTACCACAGGTTTTTTCATATTCATTACCTTTACAAAGGGTATCTTCTATGTGAACCCTCTTATGTGTCCACAATATTCCTTCTGTGTGGAAGGCTTTCTCTTGTCCATTATATTCAAAATTTTGCTCCATGGACTGAACCATATGATGTTGATTAAGATTTTCATGATAGCTGGGGAATTTCTCATTTACATTACAGGTATCAGGTTTCTCTCCATCATATATCTCACATGAACAAAAAGTATTTAAATAGCAGTCCAGAGTTACTATAACTTTGTGTATTATATTTAAGCATAACTAAGAATAGCTCAGTGAAATCAAAGAGATCAGACACAGGCCATATAAATTCAGTCAAGGAAGGACTCAACTACAAACAGGAGTAATGCACCTCAATGGTGTAAGCAAACTAAAGGGGGGACACACACACACACACACACAAACACCTGGATTCCTAGGCCCCCAGGACACTGACCACAGCCTCTCTCCACCCTGTATATACACTCCTGATAGAGTAAGTGACTACTGAAACCAGAGGATAGAAGAGACTCACTCTCCATTCCAGATAAACCAAACAGTGCTGGATATACAAGATGGCTGGTGTACCTAGGTGATGTGATAACCTCTGTGGTTACTCAGCTGATCTGTTACTAGAACAAAGTTCAAAAAAATGTTGAGTAATCAAAATATTAGCCAATTAAAGTAAGTTAATATATGATGATAGTATTCAAAAACCTTTGATGCATTAAAATATTGGCAAATATTCGGTGTATTTTCAGTGTTGAAAGATACTTCTCTGCCTGACAGAGGCATTACCAAGACTGTTGCCTTGTTTTTGCTGATGATTTCTCTCACATATCCATAAAGTTGGGGATGAAAAATTACAGCAGAGGTTTGCCTCATGCATGGATATGTTGATCCATAAAGACTGTTAACTACCCTCAGAAAGTTCAGAGAGAGAATTAGCTACAGTGGACTGAACTGTATTGCAAACAGATCAGATACACAATGCACTGACAGAGTAGATATGTGTTTCTCACGATCATAAATACAAAGGAAAGTTTCCAGATTACAGGTAGGAACATCTGTGCTGTCTCCAGTTCTTTATATCTAAATTACAGTGGCCTTTTTCCAAGTATAACTCTTAAGGCCACGATGAGGGTCATCTGCAGACCAGAGCCACAGGGTTTGAGAAATAAGGTCAAGAAGTAATGATTGCTTGTGTCCATAGCCTCCTGCAAAGACTTCAGTTGCACGATCCAACCCACAATAAAGGGAGGCTGAGAAAATCAGACTGTGTGTCCCAGAGAGAAGATAGTGGATTCTGGAGAACACAACCAGTCTCTGCTATACAAGATTTCTCCCTTGAGTGAGTTCGCTGATGTTTGCTAAGGTATGACTTCTGACAAAAGGTTTTTCCACACTCATTACATTCATAGGGTTTCTCTCCTGTATGAGTTCTCTGATGCACAGTGAAGTCTGACTTCCAATAGAAAGATTTCCTACATTCTTTACATTCATAGAGTTTCTCTCCTGTATGAGTTCTCTCATGTACAGTAAGTTTTGACTTGCTGTAAAAAGATTTCCTACACTCTTTGCATTCGTATGGTTTCTCTCCTGTATGAGTTCTCTGGTGTACAATAAGGTATGACTTGTTGAAATAAGATTTTCTACACTCTTTACATTCATAGGGTTTCTCTCCTGTGTGAGTTCTCTGATGTACAGTAAGGTATGATTTATTATAGTAAGATTTCCTACATTCTTTACATTCATACGGCTTCTCTCCTGTGTGCGTTCTTTGATGCACGGTAAGATCTGAGTTCCGGCAGAAAGATTTCCTACACTCTTTGCATTCATATGGTTTTTCGCCTGTGTGAATTCTCTGATGTACGGTGAGCTTTGACTTGCTGTGGAAAGATTTCCTACACTCTTTACATTCATAGGGCTTTTCTCCGGTGTGAGTTCTCTGATGCACAGTGAGGTATGACTTTTTGTAGTAAGATTTCCCACATTCTTTACACTGATAGGGTTTTTCTCCTGTGTGAGTTCGCTGATGGTTAGTGAGTTCTGACTTCTGATAGAAACATTTGCCACACTCCTTGCATTCATAGGGTTTCTCCCCTGTGTGAGTTCTCAAATGAACAGTAAGGTATGACTTCTGGTTGAAAGATTTACTACATTCTTTACACACATAGGGTTTCTCTCCTGAGTGAGTTCTCTGATGTAGAATTACATGTGCTTTCCGGTAGAAAGATTTCCTGCATTCTTTACATTCATAGGGTTTTTCTCCTGTGTGAATTCTCTGATGTACAGTGAGGGCTGACTTATAGTAGAAAGATTTCCTACATTCTTTACATTCGTATGGTTTCACTCCTGTGTGAGTTCTCTGATGTACAGTGAGGTCTGACTTCCGGTAGTAAGATTTCCTACATTCTTTACATTCATAAGGTTTCTCTCCTGTGTGTGTTCTCTGATGAACATTTAGGACTGACTTCTGAGAAAATGATTTCTCACATTCATTACATGCATAGGGCTTTTGTCCTGTATGTGTTCTCTGAGGTACTGTAAAAATTGATGTTTTAAAAAGTTTCTCCCATTCAATGTATTTATAGTCATTCTCTCCTGAATCTAAATTGTTATGATTGGCGAGGTTAGATTCTTTATAGAAAGTTTTATTTTCTAGCTGAGTCATGTCTTGGGCAATGAGAACTGACTTACCACAGGTTTTTTCATATTCATTACCTTTACAAAGGGTATCTTCTATGTGAACCCTCTTATGTGTCCACAATATTCCTTCTGTGTGGAAGGCTTTCTCTTGTCCATTATATTCAAAATTTTGCTCCATGGACTGAACCATATGATGTTGATTAAGATTTTCATGATAGCTGGGGAATTTCTCATTTACATTACAGGTATCAGGTTTCTCTCCATCATATATCTCACCAGGCTCACTAGAAAAAAGAATGTTCTGACATACATTAAACTCCTCAGGACTCATTACTGAATCATTTTCATTACTTATAACCATCTTTGCAATATGGTTTGAACTCAAACTAAATATTTTTACTAACTCAACTCTCTCTTTAGTTGATGTACTGCTGTTGGTGATTACAACTTGCCAGAAATGTCTGTCTGGATTTTTCTGGCTAGCTTCTAACAGGTCATCCATTCTCTGGACATCTAAAATGAGAAAAACACAACAGTATTTATGAGTCACGTTTAAGCATTTCTTATACAAAGCTTATGCAAATATAGAGACATTTCTTATTATTCTAGTGGCTGAAGATTTTTAAATATCAATGACAAGTGTTAGCTTACAACAAATATAGTTTTCCCCTTAATAAATTAATATTAATAACATTAATAAACATTCCAATGTTGGGGCCATCAAGGTGGCATAGTGGCTAAGATAATGATTATGACTCACATACGGCAGTTCAAGTACCAGACCCAGCGGCTTTAAACTCATGCTGAGCATGTATGCATGCATGCCCAAAATCCCAAGAGGAGAATGAAGAAGGGATTGACACATGGTCATCACCCCAGAGGGGTGATTTCTCACTCTGTCTCTCAGTCTCTCCAGTAGGTGCAGGCATCCTATAGCAAAAATCTTAAAAGAATGAAAATTTTAAAAATTAAAAATAAACATCCTACTATTAAACTGTGGTTTATTGCACCTTCAAATTTTCTTATACTAACAAGGAAATATCTGGTCAAACTACTTACCTACTGCCTGGCTATAATATTAAGCTAAAAGTTTTTCATCTGTCATTTGCTTCCTGTGTTATTTTCTCTATCTTATTGTTCTTATAGCAACTACTTTATGCTACTTCTTTGTTGATGCTTTTGCTTGAAAGACAACAGATTTTCCTGGAACATCTACTTGCAAGGAAGCATAAAAGGAACATTTGTTGGTAATCTAAGCAGGAATACTTCTCAAGAAGGAACTGTACCTAATGTAAGTACTCATCTCCCTAAAACTGCCCTCCCTTTGGCCTCTTCCTAAATCTATACATCTTTTTCTTGTTCTTCTCCTAGTAAGACACCCTTTGTGTTATTTCATAACTATGTGTTCATTTTGTTTTTCTCTATTTATATAATGTAAGTTTTATAAAAAAAATAAATAAATAAATTTGATTGTTCCTGAAAAGTATGTGCTGACCTGAAAGTCTCTGGTATGGGGGGTTTTCTACAATCCATGGCTCTGCTCCTTGTTCCAACTTGATGATCACCTCAGGTTTGGTAATGCAGTGACCTGTTAATGGAAAATCATAAAGAATGTCTATCAAACTTCTAACTCAGGTTCTTATGAATGATGACTGCTCAGCTTTATCAGCTGTACAATGAAGGGGTCACTTTGATTTCTTTCTTAGAGAGAAGTGACACATTCTTCATGGAATCAAATCTTACACCTAAATACTACACTATATACTTGCACATATAATAACAAAGAAGAAAGCAACTAACTATTCCTGGGAGTTAACAGGGAATGTCACTCACCAAGAAATACCAGGCTATTGTAGGTCTCCAGCATCACATCCTTGTATAGAGTCTTCTGAGAATTATCCAGATCCTGCCACTCCTCCCAGGTGAAGTCCACAGCTATGTCCTCAAATGACACAAACCCCTGTAACAACACATTTCTCAAACCATAAGTCTGATTAGAGCTAGAACAATAATCTAGGAGTTGATTTTCTGTGTGTTTCCTGTATGTCTTAAATCAGATGCAGTTTATTTTGTATTCTATATGAGGAAAAATAAAAATCATGACAGAAAAATACTACTTCTTCACTAGTTTATTGATTACTATAAATACTATTAGCAACATTTCCTGGAAAATGTCCTTGTCACAAAGGATGAAGACATAATAATTCTCCAAGGTACTTGTGATATAAAGACAGAAATATAAATGTATATGTAATGTAAAGTAATGTGTTATCTTAACTAATTCAGACAATTTTGATATACACTGAGGTAGTAAAATTTTTCATCCTACATTATCAGGATATGTTTCACTGAAAAGGCAAAGATGTTATATTCTCTATGTGAATGAGTTCTCACAAAAATGAAGCAACAGAAGTATGGTCACGGAAGCACTGAGCACTGAGGACACACACCAAATTAATGGAAAAATAAACGGCACCATGTCTAGATGAGTGTTTCTGCAGTACAATGCAAGATGAATGCATTAAAGGTGTTCAAGAAAGTATGAGTTATGTATACAAATACTTATTGCACATGCTTACTACTGTCCATAAATTACTTATAAGGTATGTTCACAGGCATCCTTATATTTTCCTCCTAGATGAAAAACAAATTGTTAATATCCACATGATAGTGAACATTATCCAATTTCTAAACCATGGGGTGTAAATAACAAAGGGGCTACAGAAAGTGGTAAGTTACTTCACAAAATTTGCATTTTTAGCAGTTATCTTCTAAATAGAGAATGAAGAAAAGTTTAAGGGAGAGTCAGATAAAAAAAAAAAGTTTATAATACGACCACTCACATCACACTGTATGGCATTAAGAATATACAATAAGAAATTTTTTTTTTTTTAGAAAAAATTAAGGAAATAAAAGAAAAAATCAGCAATAATGTGGCACTGGTTTGTTTTGCAGCAGGTGTAAAAAGTAGAAAATCCATTCTGTTCTTTATGGTATGTTAAGTAGATACTGATGCTAAAAATTTAACTTGGGGAAAAGAAATAAACTATAATGGGCTGAAATGAGACAGTTCTTGGACACTATGTTTGATGTGCTTGTAGAAAATATGTGAGAAGTGGCAGAATTTCAATGGTAGCCAAAGACATGATGAATAAAATGGCTTAAAGAGAACATAAGGGATTGAAAGAAAAGAAACAAGTAGAGAATTTGAGGAAACACTAATAATTACTGATAGAGGAAAAGAAACACTGAAAAAGTACAAAAAAATTTCCATAAAAAAGTGAATATTAAAATACCAATTAGTATTTTTTATCATTTTCATAGGTCTATGGGAAAAAGAAATCCTGTAGCCATCCACATAGATATGAGTTAATTGATTTAAGAATACAGTCCCATTTTGGGGCCAGCAGGAGCATGATGGTTAAGGTACAACCATGGAATTCACACATGGCTGACTATGATTCAAATACCAGACCCAGTGCCTTGAAAATTACACCAGGCAAATGTGTGTGCATGCCCAAAATCCCAAGAGAATGGAGGAAGAAGGGACTGCAACATAACCATCCACCCTGGGAAGTGATTCCTCACTTTCCCTCTCTCTGTCCGTCTCTGTCTCTCTCCAGTGAATGCACACACCCTATGGCAAAACCATATATACACATACTGTATTTTTCCCATTTATAATAAAGGTACTACTAAAAAAGATTATAGGACATTGTCACATTACATGATAAAATATATACTTTGGTCTGGAAGCAGAAGTTCAATTAATGCAAAAACACTAGAGAACATATATGCTCCATCAAAATTAATTTAGCAATGTATAGAAGAATTAGTTAATTGAAATAAAAAGAGAAAAACAGAAGTAAATATTACTAGCCCAGCTCTGGTGGCACAGAAGTAATGAACTGCTCTGCAAGGGCAAGTGGAACTGCTCTGCTGGCAAGTGGAAGATAAAGTTTTGGTTCCTGGGATGACCTGTACACACCAGAGGTATGTGCACACCCTGGATCTTGTCTGGTAGACAGGGTGGGGTTGAGGGTGGGATCATGGCATGAAACCCTTTGATGGAGTTCTTTCTATATTTTTAATAGAAATAAGCTTTGAAAGGAAAAAAATAGAATGATTTGCATACAATTCACATCAAGAAAACCCAAGAGTATCTCCTACAAATTATTCTAAAGAAATCAAGAAATTAATAAGCTATTAAAATAATAAGTCTTCAGGACTAGCAGATGGTGTAATGGTTACATCACTGGACTCCCCACATGGTCGACTGTGGTTTGAGTCCCACACCTGATGGCTTAAATCTCATGGTAAGGGACCAGCAGTTGGTGTAATGGCTATGTCGCTGGACTCCCATGTAGTCAACTGCGGTTCAAGTCCCGGACCCGGCGGCTTAAACTCATGCCGGGCGCGTGTGCGTGTGTGCCCAAGATCCCGAGAGGAGAATGGAGGAGAAGGGATTGCGGCATGGCCACCCCCCCGGGAGGATGATTTCTCGCTTTCTCTCGGTCTCTCTGTGTCTTTCTGGAGAGCGCACGCGCCCTATAGTGAAAAACTCTGCAAAAAAAGAAAAAAAAAAAAAAAAACTCATGGGGGATGTGTGGGTGCATGCCCAAAATCCCAAGAGGAGAATAGAAGTGAAGGGATTGCAACATGGCCATCCTCTCTCCGAGTGATTTCTCACTTTCTGTCTCTGTCTCTGTCTCTTTGGCAAACACACGTACTCTTTAGTAAAAACTTCTTTAAAAAAATAATAACTTTGTGGGACCAGCAGTTAGCATAATGGCTATGTTACTGGACTCCAATGTAGTCAACCACGGTTCGAGTCCTGGACCTAGTGGCTTAAACTCACACCAGGTGCGCGTGCATGCGTGCTCAAGGTCCCGAGAGGAGAATGGAGGAGAAGGGATTACGGAGTGCCCATCCCCCCTGGGGGGTGATTTCTCACTTTCTGTCTCTCTGGCAAGCACACGTGCCCTATAGCAAAAACCTCTAAAAAAATAATAACAATAATAACTTTGCTATACCTAAAAATAATAATCAAGTCTTCACACATGAGAACATTTTCACAATAACAAAACAGCAACAATATTCCTATTAAACAATATATATATTTAAAAAAGAGGTAAATGCACATATGGTGGAAGAAAATGCAATACAAAAACAACTATGCAAAAAAAAGACACATCGTGTTGGTGGACAGAAAAACTCCATATCATAAAGATATATTTTTTCATATTATCCTAATGAATACAACACATTCCTAGGTATAAACGGTCTAAATACTCACATGAAAATTAAACAAGCAAGAATAGACATATGTGGCAGATTATAATTTGTTTACCCAAATTGTGTCCCTCCTCCCTGTAACAGTCAACACCGACTGCCAGTAATACATGTACTATTGCCTAGGTGTCTAAAAAAACTTGTTTTCACAGTTCTAGCAGCTGGAAAGCTCAAGATCAAGGGACTGCCCATTTAGTCTTTATGAGGCCTCTTTGGCTTAGAGATAGCATGGAGAGTGCAGAGGACAGAGAGGCTGATCTTATCCTCTTCTTATGAAACCATCAATCATATTGGAATAGAGACCTATACTTATTAACTCATTTTACCACAATTACCACCAAAAAGAGCCATCCCAAATACAGCTGCATTTGAGGTGAGGACTAAGCTTCAACAGACAAATTCTGGGAAAAACAAATACATAGAATATAAATACTAAATGGCTGAAATAGCACTACACGTCTATATAGTAGCAGTGTTACTTAAGGCAACTTACTACTAAAGATGACAAACTGTGTAACTAACAGGTATTACTTATTAAATCAAATAAAGTTTACCTCTTAGAATTAAAACTTTAGGTAATAAGGCTTGAAAAAATTATAGAAGTATATCCAACTTACTGCTCACTGCATTTGGTAACATGCTGTAGAAAAATATTGAAAAAAAATGATTGAAAATTTATGGGAAAAAAAAAAAATACAGAGGGCTGGTAGGTGGCATCGGTGGTTAAAGTACTGGACTCCCACATGGCTGATTGCAATTGAAGTCCTGAACCTGGCAGCTTGCTTTCTCACTTTCTATCCACCTTTCTTTCTCTCTCTCTGGTCAAATTAAAAAATAATGATGATAATAAATAATTATTTTTTAAAAATCAAGTTTCTACGCAGAAATAAAAGAAAATAAGGAGATATTGGAAATTTGGGCTCATATAACATTGGAAAGTTCACCATTTCTCATTTCATCCTTTATTGCTTAAGGTTGAAAAAGTTGCCTCTTCTAGTTCACACACACACACACACACACACACACACACACACAAACAAAAAACCTAAAGTGCAAAGTGGGTCTCAAAAATAAAGGTAGCCAGGGAACCAGCAGTTAGCGTAATGGCTATGTCGCTGGACTCCCACGTAGTCGACCATGGTTCACGTCCCGGACCCAGTGGCTTAAAACTCACACCGGGTGCGTGTGCGTGCATGCCCAAGATCCCTAGAGAATGGAGGAGAAAGAATTGCAGCGTGACCATCCCCCCTGGGGGGTGATTTCTCGCTTTCTGTCTCTATGTCTCTGTCTGTCTGGCGAGCACATGTGCCCTATACCAAAAACCTCTCAAAAAAAAAGAAAAGAAGAAAAAAAAATAAAGGTAGCCACAAGAATAAAGTCATAAGTCTTAAGTTTAACTACATTTTTTTCAAAGTGATATTGTACTAAAAACTAAATAAAAACTGTTGACGATTTAAGTCTCAAAAAAAAACCTTCTTAGAGTTACAGACAAGAATTATGCCAAAAAGAAGACTCCTCCATTGCAGCTGAGAACTAGTGCTTTCAGGGAATAAGAGAAATGAAGACTGTCTACTGATAATTCAGCCTCCAGTCCCCAGTCTCGAGTTGTAGGGTGTCCCCTGTGTCCTTCTCTGTCTCTCTCTGTCTCTCTTTTATCTCATTTTCTGT